ACTGCACAGGCCACTAGCGGCTAAGGAAAAATATATTATACGTGTATTATATAGGTATATAATTTAGCGGAACGCGACTGGTTCTCGCCCATCGTCGAAGTCCCCACCATCTTGAACGGCCGTACACTATACGAATGGGTTCTCAAAATATTCAAAGGATTTTGCTAGTTTTTTTTAACGGTATTGCACGTGTTCAATGTGACCCCACGTGGAAAAATGCGCGTCACGCGAATTACAGCCGATACCCAATTGTCGAATCGTAAGTTAAAATCGTTTGAATAACGCAAAAGCAATAAATAGGTATTGACATTTTTCCCATTAACTGTACATCGCTTAAACGCGGTCTTGCCTGCTGACGGATACGGGCAAAATGTTTAAAGTATCTAAAAGTCACAAACTATTTGAAGATTTATCGATCATTCAAACAAATAATACCTATTGCCATCAAGAAGTAAACGTATAGAGGAATTATGATATTTGAATTATCATGTATATATTATTTTATTGCCATTTGGAATTACGAATTGAAATTATAATATTTTACACTAATTAACAATACAATTTCTAGTCTATGTTGATGGACGATGAATAGTTTTTTATTTTTTTAGTTGTAAAAATATTATCGGCAATTTTAGCCTATTTTTTTAATGATCTATGCTCAACATATTTCAAGTACATACTTTTATACAGTATAGAAAATACTGATTTAAATTTGTTCCTATAAAGTAATTGTTTATCTAATAAAATTGCAAAGTGAACATTTTAATTTTTACATATTTCGAAATAAGCGTGGGTAGCATTTTTATTATTTATATTATTATTCTTTCTTTTAACAAACAACTTGCTGAACTATTGAACAATTTTTTTACTGTTTTGGCTTAATTTTCCTTAATAATATAAATATTAATGTTAGAATGTAGGTTTGTGCGACTCGACGGTAAAAGTAGTCACATAACATACACATTTGTCGATAATTTTTTATTATTTCCTCAAAAAAAAAAAAAAAAATTATATGAAAAGTAAACAGAACTTTATTTAACTTCATATTGGTTTGAATACGAATTCAGTATTATTCATTTACGTTGCACACGAATATCTATCTAATAAATTGCATTATCAACTCGCGCACATTTCAAAACAAACTTGACAGTTATAATTTGTCAATGTTACTATATTTATTAAAACGTTATCGTGGACCATATAATAACACATTCCATTAAATATATATATATAAATGGCCACTGGTAGAACATATGATATTTCCGTTAACATTACACAAAATTCTAATATATGACGTGCGGTTATTATTATCATCGTGAGAATAGTGATCAACGAGCATGCATATTAATAAGTATATATACACAGTATTATTATTGGTTTATTTTATAGCTAATAAATACAGCTCGCTGCTTGAAACTAGTTCATGGTGTATAATTAAAATCCAAGACGGGGATTGGCAGATCATCAATATAAATAATATAATGAAAAGTTTGGCCGTTATATAGTACATAAAATGTGTTTTCCTGAATTCAAAAATATATTTCTTATGAATTTATTTGCAAAATTGAATTGGGAACCGTGTTACTATTTTAATTTGTTGCGAATTTTTCTATGACATGTTACATTTTGTACTTAATACAATTGATTTGGAGAAAATAAATTCTCATATTTTTTATTTACATTGCACAAAAAAAAAAGATATGAATGGTTCATCAACATTTTGTTTAAACAAAAAAATATAGATAGATTGTTTAACGATATAATAATATAATATATATATATATATTGCGGTTCTGACAGAAACCAGATTTTTTTTTAACTTTACCTAATTATGTTATTTTGGCGTACACAAACCTGATAGAATATGCAATCATTAGCTGGGTTGGCACAAAAAAAAAACACCGATTATTTTTTAATACTGTTAACTCGCTATGTCATGGGTATTTGTAATTTTTTTTAATTCAGAATTAACTTGGCTTATATTGTCCATCACCATAATATTATATCGCATGTAGTTTCGCTCTGCTGATGTTAGTGTAATTCGAGGAAGAAGCGGTGTAAACAACTATTTTTTTGGGGATTTTTTTCCCGAACACCTTTTTATATATTTTAATCTTATACGTTACTAAATATTTCTCGTTCGATCGATCCCAGATGTTTACAAATGGGTCGTTTATAATTAGTAAAAATCGAGTTTTGAGAAAAACGTCGAACGCCGCGGTGGTTTGAGTGCGGTGTTGTTTATTTGCTTTGGAGTAGTTGGACGCCAGCGCGCACATGTTGCGGTCTCGATGGATGACACCGGTTCAAGTGTGTTTTCGGAAATATCGCCAGTGGTGTATGTATTATTTCCCTTGGCGCTATAAGGTAAAAATCGTCTTAAATTATATTGTGGGCGTCTGATGATGTTAGGCGCTGATCAGCGAGAGGAGGGCCTTATGGTTTCCACGGGCCGTGACGGATTTAATTAAAAACTCCGCGTGTCCTTAACCTTGCCCATTGTTAAATCGCCGGTTATGACCCCTCGAGTGAAAGTGTTATTATTGGATTACACGTTTTGGGAGTGAATAAAAAAAAAAAAAAATATTTAAAAAAAATGCATGCACACACACACACACACACACTGCTGCTACATTATATAGGAGCAGGCAGCACTCCCGTACAACAATAATATTGTGGCTGGATTAAAGTCAAGGGCGAGGTCTCTCGGCGTCGCGTCGGCGCGGCGGCGGTATGCATAGGAAACATCAAAACGCCTAGCCTTTTATCCGATAGAACACAACACAACACAACACGGTCCATTAATCTCTTACAGGGTTTACGCATCGAAATTTTCGGGGTAAAAAAAAAATTAAAAAATATAAAGTCACATATAGTAATAATAATATAAAGCGTGGGTATGAGCGGCGGCGGCGGCAGTGATGCAGCGTTAATTCCATGACGGCGGTCATTTGATGGGTGGACCGGAACGCCTCTCATCCGTTTCCAAAAACCCCTTGAATCTATATATTATACTATAATAATGTGTATAATACTACTATTATGATGATGTGCACCGAACGGAAGCTCCTGCGCGGGGGGATCGTTTTACATACACGTAGGAGCAGTCGTGGAGTTAGCGGTGCGAATACTATTTCACTGGTGTTGTGTACATTGTTAGCAGACGTTGAAAGGTTTTTCACAATGGATTTTCGTTCATGTCCAAACACTTAAACTCCGCATTAGGTAAATGTTCGAAATCTTAAATACCGGAATTCTCCTACAGTGCAGTTGTTATCCTGTATATATATACATACATATATATCGCTACCTGTAATATATGACATCTGTAGAATACAAATGAGAGAGTGGTATTGGTTCTCGGAGTTAGGGACGTGCCGACAACCGCAGGATCTGTTTTCCCGCGCGCAGGTACTCATAATAATAATATATGCGCTTAGTAGTGACCGCAGGAAACAATAAAATGTCAAATAAAAATCCAAAAATTTCTACGCCCGTTTAAGAGTAATATTATTTAGGCACTTACTCGTGTATTGTATTATATTTTTTTATCCATTACCTTGGTAACATATTTTCTACTTTCTGTCAGTTTCTAGTGTTGACAATGCAATATTTTAATGAGTGCTACTAGCTAGAGGTCACTAAGTGTTTCGTTTGACTGTAAAAATATTGTTTACTTACTTAAATCATGAATTTAAATATAGTTATAAATCATTTAATATGTCCAATTTAATTCGATCCACTAACCTAACACAGCTTCAACAATTATTTCTCACTACTAGGCGATCGCCCAATAAATCGACTCGAGACACATTATTGTCAATTATCATAACTAATTTAATATTCATATTGACCTGCGTGGTGTTTTCAGTGAACGGCTTCTTCCATTATATATTATCATAATATTATTTACACATGGCATACTGTGTATAATTCTGTATGGGATTAAATTTACATACAATTTTTCAAACGCTTTATAGACTGAATAAAACTGTCATAATACATTTCCAAGATTAAACAAATATCAGAAAATCCCCGTGTCAAAACAAATACTACTAATAAGTCACAGCCGTAACAAGGTGGAAAATTATAGTGGTAGCAGCGATGGTCCTACGTGAACCGAAATGCAACAAGACCTAATGATGATTCATTTAGTTAATTAAGCGTTTTTATTGATTGTAAATCGTCTAGTTAAACTGGCGATCAAAAAATACATACACGTTTTGAAATCTTAGCAGTTTGTCCTATCGAAAAACATACATATATAATATTTTGTTTTTGTTTGATTCGTTCCGTCATGAAGATTCTCTAAATTTGTATGTTTTCAAAAAAGCTGTTATCGGAATGCACGTCGTGTCAAGCTGTTTGTTGAAACAGAAGAATGAGTTAATTTCATCTTTCCCTACCCTTTTAAAAATACCGAATAGGAAGGATCATTAATGACTAATCTGCGCTACTAAATACAACTCACCTGCTTGTATTTACGAAAAAAACGTTTTATCTATATCGGAATACGCGTTGAATGATTAATCATAATATTTTATACTGCCTTGAGATTAACATTGTGTTCACGTTGTAAGACTGCATGGTGTGTAGGCACGACGATGCACGCCTCGAATATATTCTATTCCATTGTTTTCAAACGCGTCACACAGGGTTCGGCCTTGCTACCATAGAACGTTATTATCTATTATTTAAATCTGGTGCCAAATTACATTCGTCGTTTTATATAGTACACGGATACACGTTCTCTGGGTTTTATTTTCCGATGTCGGATAAACTGATTCTATTCATAAGGAGTCGTCTTGTACGACCCTCAAATAATGTATTTTACCGGTTGTCCTGCCTAACCACATTTGTCGGCTATTCAAAATCGAATTAAACTCTGGAACTAACGACTCGTGACAGAACACACATGAAGGAAATCATCGTTTTTTAATGTAATAACAAAATTATAATGATCTTGTTCTAAATGCCGTGTCGTATAATTGTGTTCGCAGGTGTTACCTAAAATCAACTTCACCTATTCCGTGTGCCGTGATTACAGAGAATTCTCTTGCGGCGGATGGTTGCACTCTAACGACTTGCCTCCATATATGAGCTCATGGAGTCTCAAGAAACGCATTCAACAAGACCGTAAGCGAGGACAAATTCCAATAATTAAAATTGTCAACAAAAAAATGTATGTTTAACGTTTTCAGAGAAAATTAAAACCAGAAACATGATCGTCACGTTAAGGAACGTGGCCACTACCACGTCGTTCAACTGGAAGATGAAGTACTTCTACGAGTCTTGCATGAATTTGGACAACATCGAAACTGACGACAGCAAACCGTTAAAGAAAATCATCAGCACCATTTTAGGTAGTTGTCAGAGCTAGTGCCTAATCGCCTTTGATACTTCCGAAATCCAAAACTGTAAAAACGCATTCACTATGTTTAGGTGGTTGGCACGTGTTGAAAGACTTCAACGTCCACGCGTGGGATCCGTCTCAGACTATTGTCAAGTTACACGCTGAGTACAGCGTGAGTCCTTTCTTTAAAATCGACGTAGTACCCGACGACAGAGTTGCTGGTCAAAATATAATTCAGGTATGCCCTCCCTTGTTTCATTCAATCCCCTCTCAATGTTTCCTTTTAATGACGTATTTCTCAAACTACTCTTTCTATAATCATTCCTAACTTCCATCTAATCCAGGTTACATCCAAGTAGATATAGGCGTCAACTACAAATAGACCACCTATTCTTGCCACACGATATCCCTGTTGTCTCTTTTCATCTCAACCAACTATTTTTGTTGATTCCTCCATTTTCTTTTATTGCCAATACTCCTTAAATTCCACTAGACTCCTTGCTATTAGCTTTTGAATCGCTTAATAAAACGTTATTAATTGTTGTAGATTTCTCCGGCAGGACTGGGATTACCCAATCGAAGATATTACTACAGACAACAAGACGCCAAGGTAATTAATTGGTATAAGCCTAATAGCACCGGAAAGCCTTCTCAACCGATTTCTATGCGGGATAAAGTTCTCAATGATACCTTTTGAATGCCTCTTGTTTCATTTGGGCAAGTCCAATCCGACTACCCACATTGTAGTGGGGACAAGGATTTCTTGTACGGTTTTTAAAAACAACATAAAGCCTCATAAGTCAAACGGGAATTCTAGTTGATTGTATATGTGTGACTGACGGTGTTGTTAGGGGGAACATTCTTCTTTGGTCATTACAACCTTGGGATTAACTATTGTACCATGTTTGGTAATTGCAGATAGTCGCCGCGTACAAACATTATTTGGTCGACGTTTCTCAACTGTTGGGAGCCACTAGCGGTGACGCTAGCATATTCAGCAACGACATGTTCCATTACGAGAAACGTATCGCCGAGATAACACCGGCCGACAAGCTTGAAGATCCGTTTACATCTCATAACCGAATGAAACTTTCGCAGTTCAAAGAAATCGCAGGCTTGGTAAGTCGGCCGTCTAAAGCTGCAAATGTTGTTGTTCTAACAAGTGCTGTCCGATAATTAATCGCTCATCGGTCGTGTCTCTCGTTGCAGATTCCTCTTTTGGACATCTTACACTCAAAGTTCCCCGACAGTGGCATTACCGACGATACGTACATATCGGTGGTGTCGCCCACTTATTTCAGTAACGTTTCCAATTTGATATCGTCGTCCGATAGAAGGTGAGTTAGTATTGTCGTTGACCACCGGCCATTGATATAGTTTTGACGTTGCTAATTTCCGTTTGATTCGTACAGCGGACTCAACGACTATTACATGTGGAAAATGGCCGAGGCGTACGTACCGTACTTGTCGAACAAGTTCAGGGATATCGTGAAAATCTACACGGCCGAACTTACCGGTGAAAAAGATTCGCCGCCCAGGTGGGAGACTTGTGTCTCGGTTCTTCAAAAGTTTATGGGCTTCGGAATAGCCGCCACGTTAGAATCCAGTACAGAAAACAAAGCGGAAGTGGTCGGGGTCGTCAAAGAACTATTCGACAACGTTAAAGATACGATTAGATCCGGTATAGAAAAATCTAAAGGACTGGAGCCCGAACTTCGAGCACATGTATTAGACAAAGTAAGTGTATTTTTAACGACCGGCAAAGAATGTCCGGTTAAGTGTACTAATACCGATGGATGTTTTAGCTAAATTCAATTACAATTCAAGTCGGGCTACCCGAGCACACCCTTCAGGACTCTTACATAAATCAATTTTACAATCTCTTGCCCATTCAGAGGCTGGACTTTTTCCCAAACGTCAACCACGCTATATCTTTCCTTAAAGATTACTCACAGACCAAACTCAAGTCTAAAAAAGAGGAGTACAGGTAAGTTCGAAACGAACAGTAATAACATGTTAAACGTTGTTTTTCTCTCTACAATTGATTTGTACCTCTCATTAGGTGGCTCGACGATCTCGTGTCGGATGACCCAAAAGTAACGTACAACGTTGCTAGTAACAAAGTGATCGTGCCCTTGTCTTTACTTTCACCACCTTATTTCGAAATCGATTATTCCGAGTAAGTTTATCATACAACAATATGAAGAAAACATAACGTTAAAATTAATTCTTGTACACTCTTCTTTAGAGCGTTAATCTACGGAGGTCTTGGCGTGGAAATCAGTTCAGCAATCTTGTCTAGCGTTTATCCGTCAGGGGTCGCTTTTACAAAAGAAGGTATGCTGCTAGACGTTAACTCGGTAACCGTCAACAGAACCGTTGCGGCCACAATCGAAACGAGAAATTGTTTTGGAGACTCCTTTAAAGGCCAACAAGTAGAAGTCCTGAACAATACCGCCCTCACAGCCATGTTGTCGGTTTCAAGCGTGAGATTCGCATTACAGGTATGTTTTTTTTTGAATACTATAAATTAGGTATAAACTGCATTCTACATTACTATACGTATTTTAACAGAGTTTGCAGAAGAAAACAAAACTGGAACCACATTTCCATCAGCCGGCGATGGAAAATTATGGATATGATAAACTTTTCTTTTTGACATACGCACAAGTGAGTAGACAAAACTCAACACAGTGGGGTCGAAGGAATTCAAGTCATTAAGAGAACCATTACACTGAAAGTGATGAAAACTATTTAGTGTGCTATAAATAATAAAAAAAGGAATTTAAAAACGGGCTTTTTGCTTGAATGCCAGTTTTTGAAAAATTTTTTCGGATATAGATTGAAAAATCCATTGGGGCATATAATGATTAATTTTTTGATACCATGTTTTTGAAATTGACCAAATCGTCAGTGGTTTATTTCCATAATTTCATTGTAAATTAATTGATTTTCCAATGAATAACTTCAGTTCTAACGACCTATTTATACCATTTTTTAAATAAGTATTTATGACACTTTTGTTTTATGTTTAGTCACTGTGTACCATCAAGTCCCCACAACAACAAGATTTGGACACCATGTACGATCTAATGTCGGACGAATCTCTATTGTAAGTAAAACCTACAATTTGTATAAAAATAAATCACATACTGTTGTTCGTATGCACTGCACGCATTACTTATCAGGGTTTTCGATATTGTTTTGTCTTAAACGAAACCACCAGATATTGTTTGTAACACGTCGCGCTAACCATCATAAGGGAATTTGCGTTGTCAGACTTAGCGTTTAAGGCGTTTTAGTGCTGCAACACAAATTGCAGTACAGTTCCCGTATAGCGTCACTTAAGGGGCAATATCAATGAGATTTTTTTTTTCGTTTGTAAAATCCAAATTTTGTCGTTTCAGATTGAAAACCGTTGCCGATCATTTAGATCTATTCAAAAGCGTGTTCCAGTGTCCGGAGAGTTCATCGAAAACTTGCAATTACATTTATTGATTGGCGCCTCGCGAGCGTTTGTCGATGTGACTTAAAACAAATGGAAAGTATTATTATCGGTTATTCTTGACAACAAAACGGTGAACGTTTCTTCTTTTAGTATTCATTTTGATACGACGTTTATTTCATTGTTCGTATTTGTTGACTGTACTTATTTTATTTTGCATTCGAGAAAACACGACCATGACATTATTAATTTTATGCGATAAGTTCACAATAATAATTGTCAGTACATGAATATCATTTTAACACAATATGCAAAACGTAACTATAATTTGATAACTCTAAACGCATATTATTGTACTCGCACGGTCAAGACTGGAAATTCTTACGCATTAACCCACTTAAGGTGATAATAACGTTAATTAAAAAAAAAAAAAAAAAGTTACATAATAATTGTTCTTCTACAGGGTATATAGTATAAGCCATTTGAATAAATTAAAATATAATTTTTTATTTTATTTTTTGAAAAAAAAGAACTATTTTTGAAATTGTAAATATTTATATATAAAATATATACATATATATATATATAATATATATAGTATAGATATCTAATTTAAAATCTTACTTGTTGTTGATTATAGCTATAAATTGTAAATAGTATACGTTTTTTGTATCATTGACATTTTATTTAAGTTAGATTTATTGACATTATTTTTTGTTTGTATAAGACGATAAAATAATGGTATCACTATACAATTAAGATTTTTTCTCGAATTATATATATATATAGCTTTTTGATAAATTATAGTATTTTTTTAAAAATAATTACACTGATTGTAATGTCGTGTCACTAGCACTGTCGTTAAAACAATACAATACATGACCTACTATTGTTATTAAATGAAAGATAAACTGTCCAATGTAATAGGAATCGTCTGCATAATATAGTCAAATATCAATTTCGAAAATATTTTAATATCACTTTCGGTTTGGAGCATTATTACTACAATTATTTATTGTTACTAAACAAAATTTCTTGACATAATCGAAAATTATAAAAAATACTCTAAGGCGTAGTCTTACATTTACATTACCAATTACATAGGTAATTCGATTTTAGTTATTTGGGTATTTGAATATCGACGAGAAGACAACTGTTATCATGTATTTAGCGAAATGGACATGTACCTACCGGACATTTTTTCCAACTTGAGTTTCCATTTTGGAAAGGTTTCCGTTTTGTTGAAGCTTAACAAAAATTGGAACAGTTGTGGATTATAAATACATTCACCCCACAATTGTATCAATACACCATATTTGTTCAAAACATCATACGGCCCAAAAGAGGGGTGCTAAAACGATAGACGATATTTAAATGAAAGTAACAAAGAAATCGACAAACAAAGAAAGAAGTAGGGTGTGCTAAAAAAAACGTCCATTGTGCTCTTTTTGCTAAGGTTTACAGAGATGAAAATACTTAAAACGTTTTAATGCAATAGTTTTAATTATATTTGCCAGCGTGACAAAGACTTGAAATAAGAATTCTTCTATTACACAAAATATTACTAGGTATTATTGTTTGTCGACCAATGGCGTAACATATTATGCGTATTTTATATTAGAAAAAAGGGTTTTCATACTTATAAATTATTTTTAATTAAAAACCAATAAACCTTTTGCAGCGTGTACGTTTCAACTACAAATAAAACAAGCTAATCATCGTTTTTGTTATAATCGTTGTAACCAATACATACAATAAATATAATTATACCATTTTGTTTTACAACTTAATGATATGCAACTATATTGTGTAGTGTAGGTCTGACAGCGATGAAAAATTATAAAGTTCTCAATTTATAACGGTCTCGATTATTACATATTATGGGAAATCTCCAGACCCCAAAAGAGCTGTGTTCCCAGTGTACTCCGTTTGTCCCCTTTGTAGACGGATTTTAATTGTTGTGTCCTCTCAAGGGGACACAAATCCGTTGGATGTTCTTAATGATTCTGTTCTTCTCTTCATATAATACCCAAAGGGTCCGCTTTTTTTTTGTCACCCACAGTGTTAATCGATGCGTGACGTGACGGGTTGTATGTTCGAATGTACACAGTAGCACTGCAGCTTGTACAGAGTAGTATTGAGTTTCAAAGTACTTGAATAAAAAGAAATTTCAGCCAAGACCGAGGCCATTACGGGGATTCTCAAAAGCAGACTGTGAATTTCATGAAAAACTATGTCTCGAACGACAGTTCACATTGTGGTCAGTAGATTTGCTGCTATGTGAAAGAAACCTAAGTGTCAAAAATGATCATTGTATATGTCTTGACTCTGGTCTCAGTGCATAAAATAAAAGATCTCCGGTCCGAACAATAGGGCTAAACAAAATCCTAGATAGTTAGTGATTTTCGTAGCAAAGGCAAATGAAGGAAAGTCGATGACGTTGTGGTTCAATTAGGTCAAAAGGTTTATGAGACATCTAAATTGCAATTCACGACCGGCTCGAATTTAATAGTTACACTTACATTTTGAGCAGAACAAGTAGAAATAATAAAAATAATGGTAGGACAAAATGAGTGATATGCATAACAAATGATAATAATAAATGTTTGTCCATTTTTTAAATAAACATTTATTAAATAACCGATATTTTTTAATAAGCAGTTCCCAATACGTTAAAATGTAAATCTGTACACATACAGACATTTAATCTTTAAACAAATCAATGTAGGCTTATTTCAGAAGATTTTAACAATTGTAGACAGTAGACCTGCGGACTAACCTACTAAAGTTCTGTAGAACTTAAATAGCAAACATTTGCACAGTAGACTTTTTTCGGTGGACCTATACTGTCTGTCAACCTACAGGAATACTATAAACAACGTTAAAAATAAACAAAAATTACACTCTCAGCTCTATAACGAAACTAATATAAATAAAAATATATTTTACCAAGTGAAATTGTATGTGTTACCACTTATTTGTAATTTATCACATTTAGTAACTTGGCCCGTCGAATTGTATTACATATTAACCGTTTACAAGATGTGTACAAACATTAAATTAAACCGTCATCAACTATAGAAAGTATAGGTCTTAAGTCTACACGTTTTTTTCATACCGTATTAGATGATGAAAAAAATGGTAGGCTTTGTACGGACAAAAGTTAAAGAAACTTTCTGTTACTGTATACCGTATTTTACAAATACGGTATACAGCTAGGTTACATATTATTATTACACAGCTATTAGAGACGTACAACAAATTATAAGACCGCAATATTATTTACAGTATAGCAAAATATCATATATATATATATATTATTTTATTAGTATAAATGCAATATCTCGTGAAAGCTAAGGCGCACATTAATATAAATGCAAATTTCATTTCGCCCGAGCAGTCGCCATATGGTGTAGTTATAATTTTAGCGACATTTTTACTATCGAATGGAGCAACACTAGTAGGGGACGAGTACCATTATTAGAATTGTATATACTTAATATACACGGTTGAGAGTTATGTTTCGAAATAAGTTATCATTATTGTATCACAATTGTGACATTTCATTTTGTGTTTTCTGAGTTCTGACGGAGAATGTTGAACATAAACAATAATTCCAAAGAAACGGCATTAAAGAAAGCAGCATTGTTCAATTAACACACTGAGTTATTTATGCATTTTTTTAATGCCAAAAAAAAGTACATTTTGTCGATAAACGAACAATTAAAGTTTGTACTATGAATAATAATATTTATCAAGTGTCAAGTTGTCAACTGACAACTATATCAATATAACCTTTGTCAATGGGTAATCGAAGTGATCAAAACTCAACAACTTTTTGGCTACTCTACAATAGTAATATTTTTTGTCTATACGACTGTGCTACTCTCGATCAATGATAACATTGGTTTTTGGGTTGTTTCCGTATCAACCGAGGTTAATCTCGTTGTGAAACTCGGACAATATATTTTAACTCGGTCAGTCGCGTGCCGGGTAAAGTCATTGTTAAAATAACAGAAATTGATCAAGTTAAGTACGCTATAGGAGCAATCGAAGAGCCAGTTTCCCACGACTAGACTGTTCTCGAATAACCCAGAACAATATATTGTGTAGTAATAATATTATACACTATAGTATATTATCACGATATGGACATTGGACCAAAATCTGAACTGTGAAGTGGGTTTCGCAGATCGAAGCGTGTGCCGGCCGGAGGATTAACTAACAGACGACGGCATTGCTTCGCGCAGCAATCATTGCATAGCACGTGCGTTTCCCCTTGGGTATAATATTATATACTGTATTATATAGGGTTTGAGGTTTCCTGCTCTTCGCATCTGTCCTCGGGGCAAAGGCGGCGGCGACAACCAGGATCGACGGCTGCAATCCGCCAGACGTGTGCCCCGCAACATCTGTCAAGTTTTTAGCGGGTGCCTTTCGGTGAACTATATATTTTATTATTGTACTGTACAATATCGATAATATCGATATGTGCACTATATATACGAGTACGGTGTACCTACTGCTTACACCTGGACATAATTAAATATTGTGAAAATATTGTGGTATACGTTATTCCGCGACGGAAAACATCTGGATCCGTTGCCAGCGCAATGTGATGTATTTTGTCGATAGGTATGTAATTTTAAAGAATTTATCAAAAAATTGACCGTTATTATATTTCAGAAAGTATAATCGTTGATTAAAAGAACTGTAATAGTATTCATAATCAACGGTGTAATATTAATAAAACGCATAAAGTATAACGACGCTGTAATAGGCCAGAAACAATTGTTATCTAAAATCATTATTATATCCGTACAAAATTACAAATATACATAATAAAAATAATTATCGAAAAAACTATGTTTGCGTGCGTGTCCATGTGTTATGGATCAAGCAATAAAATAAAAAAATATAACCTAACCTAAACTAACCTAGCCGATATATGTATTCTGTTAGTAAATATAATTGTGTATTAAGAGCAAATAGTTTTTGCTTATTTATCGATCCTTGAAATGTAGTAAAATATATTATTCAATAACATTGGATATTCTCATATAAACTAGAAATAGTGGTAATACATTTTTATCTATAAAACAACATATTTGTGTTCCCAGTTGAAGTGATGACAACCAAATGGGCCCTAGTGATAATGTTTTCAAAACAATTATGACCTTTTTATATTTATTTTTTGTTCCATATATTTTTGAAAAACTTCATAAAGAAAACTAATGCCGACCACCCATTATAATACATTTAATGTATCATTTTGATTTACCATTTATCTTTGGATTCTTATATTATATTCAGTTGTCTTAAAGTATAATATACCATCATTAGGCATATGTAAGAGAAGCCATGTAATATTTCTTTTCTCCAGATAACTGCATAATTTTTCAGGATATTCCTAAAATATAAATTAACGACGGATATGACATGATAAGCAGTTTATCGAGACTCTCGGATACTTTTGATGTTAGTTGACTATAGTAATACCAATACGATTCCCTATTCCAAGCTAGCTAACAAGGGTGGTTTTACTTGCAGATGTCCTGCTCAGTGGTTGTCCCGGAGGTACCTTATTACTGACCCTCTATGATTACACGCTTACGGTCATGCCAAATATAATATCTCCCCTTTGCATTGTCACCAAAAGAATACAACTCGGGTTTTTATCCAGTTATAATTCTCATTATTACCCCTCCGAAATAGGGCGTAACATTATTTTTTGGTAATATTGCTAAAAAATGGAAATTACAATCACGAGAGAACATTTTTTCCCAGTTTTTAATGTGAAC